GCTGTTCTTGCAGAAGACCTGGGTTCAAATCCCAGCATCCACATGGCACCTAACAACTGTCTGTAACTCCAGTCCCAGGGCATTGCATGACACAGGTGCACTTACCTACATGCAGGCAGTACACGCATACACAAAAAATAAAAAAAATTTTAAAAAAAGTTAAAAAAAAAAGCTCTAATTTGCATCTTTGATGAACAATGCAATAAACTCATTTACTAGGGCTCTAGAAGGCTGAGACTTCTACAAATTGTGTACATATAAAATTTTCCCACTTCTAGGGGCTGGAGAGAGGATTCAGTAGTTAAGAGCACTGACTGCTCTTGGCAGAAGACCCGGGTTTGATTCCAAGCACCCACATGGTGGGCTACGAAATGTCCTTAACTCCAGTTCCAGGGGAATCCGAAGCCCTCTTCTGACCTCTCTGGTACTGCATGACACGTGCACTCACATACACGCAGGCAATACACTCATACACACACACCCAAAAAAATTGCCACTTCTTTCTCCCTTAAGAACCAGGACAGGTAGAATGGTTCAGCAGCTAGACACTTTAAAACCCTAAACATGTAAGGAAGGAAAGCCAACTCCTACAGGCTGTCCTTTGACCTCCACGCATGTCCTGCAGCACGTGCACACACAATCCCTCTACCAACATACCCACCTATACAAAATAAACAATGTTAAAAAAAATCACATATATAATAAAATACACACAGTACAGAAAAGTACTATACTCTTACATCCTCCAGTTTGTCAGAGTCTCTGTTCTCAGACAGGTCTCCGTTGTGGTCATCCTTCAGAGTCTTCAGGAATTCACTCTTCCTGTCAGTGGTTCGGCGGGGTAATTTGGGCCGTCCATAGGGCAGGCCACATGACTCCTCCCACCTTTCCCTTACTCTGGCTGCTGTGAATCCTGCTCTGGACAGGCAGAGAAGTGATGTGGAGTGTGTGGATGAAGATTGATCACTCTCCAAAGCAGCCTGTGAGCCCTTTCTAAACACTGTATGAAAGGTAACATTGTCTAAAGAAGACATGCAGGGATCTGTAATTAAAAAACAAGCAGGGAGCCGGGAGTGGTGGCGCACACCTTTAATGCTGGCGCTCGGGACGCAGAGGCAGGCGGATCTCTGTGAATTCAAGGCCAGACTGGTGTACATAGTTCCAGAACAGCTGGGGCTACAGGGAGACCCTGTCTCTGAAAGACAAATGTAGGGGAAGTACTCTTATTTCTGGTTCATGAATATTGGTAATATCTGGGTCGTCAAGATGGCTAAGTAAAGCCATTGCTATGCAAGCCTGATAACATGAATTAGAACCACTTCACAAAGCTGTCTTCTGACCTCCGTATGTGTGCCACTGCACATTGCCCCCCAGTAATAAGCAAATAGGAGCATTAAAAAGTATCTTATTGGGGCTGGAGTGATGAGTCAGTGGTTAAAAACATTGGTTGTTCTTGCAGAAGACCCAGGTTTGAATCCCAACACCCACATGGCAGCTAACAACCGTAACTCCACTTGCAGGGGATAGATCCAATGGCCTCTTCTGTTTTCTGTGGGCATTGCACAAATATGGGTGCACTCACATACATGCAGGCAATACATGCATTTTTTTTAATGTGTATGCGTGTATTGTCTGCATGTAGGTAAGTGCACCCATATTGTGCAATGCCCACAGAAAACAGGAGGCTGTCAGATCCCCTGGAACTGGAGCTATGGACAGTTGTTAGCTGCCAAATGAGTGTTGGGACTCAAACCTGGGTCTTCTGACAGCAACAAGAGAAATGGCATTACACCTACATTTCACCCAGCATACCCTAGTGTCAGTAACTAGGAAATGGCAACCCGTGTGTGTGTGTGTGTATGTGTGTGTGTGTCCATGTGTCCGTGTCCCTGTTGTACAGACAAGGCTGGGCTGGAACTCTTGCCTGACTCAGTCTATACTGCAATTCAGGCATGGACTACCATATGTTGCTCAGTAATGGCAACTTTGAAGCTGGATGTGGTGGCAAATGCCTTTAATCCCAGCACTTTGGAACTTTGGAGGTAGAGACAGGCAGAGCTCTGAGTTTGAGGCTAGCCTAGTCTACTCAGTGAGGTCCAGGCCAGCAAGACTACAAAGTGATAAGCCTGCCTCAAAAAAACCCTCCAAAATTTATTCTTTCATAATTTTTCTAAGAAACAGTAACATATAGCAACTTTTGGGATGGGGGGTGTGGCTTAGAAGGTACAGTGCTTGCCAACAGCAAAGCCCTGGGTTCCATGCCCAACAACACACAAAGCTGAATGTAGTGCTGCATGCCAGTAATCCCAATACTTGAGAGGTGGAAGGATGAGGATCAGAAACTCAAGGTCATCTTTATGGCCAGCCTGGGCTACATAATACCCTGTCTTGGGGGGAAAGACGGCACCTTTTGATAATTCCTCACTCACCTCTTTCGGAGAACTTAGAACTGTGCCAGTAGCTAGTACCACTGGCTTGGTAACAGAAACTGGATTGGACTCCCGGCTAGAGGAAAGGGATCCTGATTTGTGTTCCATTCTGTTAGCTTTCCATGCGTTGGGCTACATGGGAATGAAGAACAAACTAGTCAAAACAAATACACAAAAACAGGAGCTAAGCTTGCAAAATCGAAGTAAAGGGAGAAATGTTCTGTGGGAATCTAAGTACCCAGAACTTACCTGTCTCACTATGTATGGGGAGATATATACCCTCCTAATATGTATTTCTTAAAAAGAAAGCTCTGGCACAGTGCCAGAGATGCATAGGTGGTCAAAGTTCAACAGCTTGCTTTCTTTTTTTGAGACAGGTCTCCCTGTAGGCCCACGTAGCCTGGAACTTGCTTTGTAGACTAGGCTGGCCTTGAACTCAGAGCTCTGCCTGCCTCCCAAGTGCTGGGATGAAAGGAGTGCACTACCATGCCCAGCTCAACAGCTTTCTTTACTGTGCTATTTCTCAAAGCATTTAATTGCACACATATAATCCAAGTTTCTACTTATTTATCACCCCAATTTTACACACACACACACACACACACACACATGTAGTTTATTATTTATAACTATTTGTAGTAACTATTAATTTCCACAAAACATAGAAAAATATGGTTTTCTAGGGATTTTGACAGTGACGGGTTAGTTCCAGGCTCCAAGCTAGGGTTAAGGTTGTAATTGGCCTCAACTACAATAGCAGCACAGCATAGCTGGAATACTCCATTATGAGTCAACCACGTTGTCTGAAGAGACTAAGGAAGACGATGCAGGTTAACTGAGTAGACTGAAGAGCAGAATTACTTATTTTCTAAAAACAAAATATTAGAACCAAGAGACATACAGCTAAAAGAAAGAATCTACATGAAAGGAATTGCTTTCCTTGCTGGATGTGGGTTTGCAAAGAAGACAACAGTTTTAGGATGGGAAATTAACTCTACTAAGTATCTACACCATGTACTTAGGCTTGCCATATTGTTTAATTCTTAAGTCAATCATGTATAATTATCAGTATGATGTTTATATTTTTAAGATCTAAAAAAATGTGACAGCTGGGCATGGTGGAGCATGCCTGTAGTCCCAGCACTTGGGAGGCAGAGGCAGGTGGATCTCTGTGAGTTCAAGGCCAGCCTGGTCTACACAGTGAGCTCCAGGCCAGCTGGGGCTATAGGGAAACTGTTTCAAAAAGACCAAAAAAAAAAAAGCGAGAGAATGAATGCTATGGGTCAACAGGTGCCTGGAGGCCAGAAGGTGTCAGAATCCTAGATGGGTGAAGGGATTTAAAATCCAGTTCTCTGAAGGGCAGCCAGCATTCTTTTTTTAAAAAAAATTTACTATTTTTAT